CCACACCAACAACAACCACAACAAAAACAACTACAACAACTACGCCCAAGACAACGACAACAACTACACCGAAGACAACCACAACAAAAACAACAACGACCACCTGTACCACACCAACAACAACCACGCCGAAAACAACCACTTGTACTACACCTGCAACAACCACGTGCACAACAACAACCTGTGCTCCACCTAAGCCAACACCCTGCTCATCTTAAGGACGTAAAAGTGTTTCCTCTCAGGGCACAATAGTTCACGTTCCTTTTATTATGGCTATGTGAAAAACGTGTTAAATAAACAGTGCAGAGTATTCAGATCTAAATCGTTTAATTTTAAAATCTAGACTTCAGGTCTCCTCAAGCATTGATCAAGTATTTCTACTTTGATCTTAACTTTAGATCAAGAAATTTACATTTTAATCTGGTTCTGGTTTTCGGTATGCTTCCCATCCAGTCCAATTAACAAATAGTTCGACGAGATTATAATACTGAATGAGATCTCGAACATGAGTTAATTAAAATGAAGAAGCAACAAAGAGAAAAACACGAAGAAGAAGAGGAGAAGCAGACAGACAACGTCATAAATTTTCGACATAAATAATTAATAGCCAATTTTTCGCCTGCCAAAAAAAAAATAATGAAAATATGAAAACTTAGGAATTTCATTATGGAGGCGGCTTTTCTTGGATGCCGTTCAGGCGGACGCCCACATAGAGAGAGAGACCTGCGAATTTCTATTACTTTCTTAATTTGTGTGAGAGAGAGCGAGACAAGGAGGTGACTGAGAGTGGAAGAGTATGAAAGGATGGAGCGAAGGGGGCGCAATTGGCAGTCGCGAAATTTATCATCTTTTTCCCTATACTTCCGGAAACGTTGTCGGAAATGTTTGTGTGGCTAAATGGAAATAACTTGTTTACATGATAATTGTGTTTCGTTTTCGCGTGGAAGCCTCAAATGCGAGTTGGGCAAACGTTTAAGAAAATGAGCGTAAAGAGAAACAGAGAATTCCGCTCTGAAATATGAGTCAATGAGTCACCGAATTCAGGACATTCCTCCAAATGAAATTAATTTAAATATAAAATACATAGAGTGCTAAGACTTTCCCCATATTCCCACTATAGGTAATGCATATTTGAAAATGCTATATATAAAAATACTATCAAATATCTTCAGAGTTTTTTTTTTTTTTTTTTATATTTATAAATTATTTTGAATATTCAAAGAAAATGAGTTTAATTCAACTAAATTCCATTTCATTCGCTGCTCTTCGGCTCATTCCGTCTCTTTTCTTCTGCAGCTCAAGACTTTTATACTGCTTGCCTTTGTCTACACAAACACACACATCTAAATATGTATGCACTTATATACACATACATATGTATGTGTACACGTATTTAATACAAATAAAGTTGAAGCCGGTTTATTCCTTTGTCTGCCATTTGAAGCTATTTTGCCGGTTTTTATTATGGTTCGCGGTTTGTTGTTGTTTCCGTTTGTTTCGGCTCGTTTTTTTTTTCGTATTTGTTGTCGCTTTATTAGTCATCCACATGAGTCGCAAACCTAACCTCACCCAACACCTTCCCCATCTCCCAAAAAACCGCCATGTATACAGCAAAAAAAAAACAACCGAAAAAGAAGAAATAATGAAAAAACTCCAACTGAAAGTCTTGCCTCTCGCTCACACCTCTTGCCAGCCGCCTTTGTTTGTCAGTTGCGTATGACTTGTGCCTGTGTGTGTGTGTGTGCGTGTGCATGTGTGGATTGTGACGACTCAGCTGACGCTGACGCCAGCAGCGGAACGCAGCTGAGCAAGCTAAGCGCCAAACAGCTGTTTGCTGTTATTTTTGTTGTTGCTGGTGTTGCTGCCGCTGGGTTTTTGGCTGTTGCCGGCGCTGGCTGACAACGCCCACATGGCATCCACACACACGCACACACATACACACAAGCGAGTACCGGAACATTTGTGGGCGGACTGCAGCAAATGTAATTGAAGTTGTGTTACATAGCAGTCAGCTTTTGGGTGTGACGTTTGCGTTTGCTTTAAAATTGCAAGCTGTAATTGAAAAAGTTTTTTTTTTTTTTTGTTTTCATAGCACCAGTTCTTTAATGCTCAACTCTGTGCAGCTAATTAATTAATTGGTAATTGAAATGCGACGGCAACGGCGACGGCGCCTTTACGCTCCATTAATTTCGCATTCATTTTCTTCACGCGCCAAAATCTGCAATTAATTTTATTTACTTTGCTGCCTAATGGTTTGACCATTTGTTGTTGTCACGCCCACACATGCAAAAGATGAGTCGAAGTAGAAGGAAAAACAGTGCATATTTCAGAATATTAAAATTAATATAAAAACAAATTTTGTTGCACGTCAAGCGCCGCCGAAAATTAAAAAGACGCAAGCAACAGGCGAACAAAAAGCAAAACAGAAAGAAAATAAAAATACAAAAAATGTAAACTAAGCAAAAATTTTGTATATGCAGTGATCTTCGGTTAATTTGTTTTTGCATGTACCCTATAAATGATGATGGGAATGATGGGAAAGTTTTTTAGATGCAAAATGCAAATATATCGATATCGTGATCTATGATGACCATGTTATTTAATTGAATAAGTAGACTATCGATAATTATCGGAAACCAATTAATATATAATAGTTGCAATATATTCATAGGAATTCAACAATCGATATTTATCGATATTGGCCGAAGCCAATCGAAAAGGCATTTCATATTCGCCTGGCTAATTGCTATGCTCTATTCATAGCCTTCCCAACATACATATTTGTTTAGATAGTTCTGTTTGAATTTTCATTGCCAAAATCGCGAACGCTGCTGCCTCTCGTGGCCGACGCCAGGGGGCGCTGCAGCGGCTTCCGCACAGGGTGAGCCAATGAAAACTAAATTAAGGCAAACTATAATAAATCAAATTCGTAACCACATGAAAAAAAAATCGAGCAATAGAAAACTAAAATTGTCGAATGCAATTTTCTCGAATGGCGCAGAGCCGGGAGGAACTAAAATCTGAGATTCTCGTGCTCTCGTGCCGCGCGATCGTAAAACAGTTTTGTAGAACTTACATATATTATGGGCAAACATGAAATGTGCAAAATGATTTCAAATGATTTATTTTTATAGCCATAAAAATATTTCATAGAACACCCAGTTGATACCTAATTGGACCGATCATCAAAACAACATTTTACATTTGTAGTTGCGTTAGCAATTGGATGATTAACTAAGAGTTGCGACTAACAAATCATTTGTCATTTTTCCGTATTTATCAAATTTTACTGGAATTTTTGGTTTTGCTTTTGCGATTAGGCTGATTTGCACCTTTCACTGCTCGACTCTTAGGTATTTGGGCTCTTATCAAAGCCCATCGATTATGTCGTGTCTTAACTTGAATGCCCACTGTGTCAGCACTTATAATACATACATACATATGTATGTACATATATTTATTTATAACTTGTGCAAACAGAACCAAGTATTATACCCTACATATGTACATATGTCTGTATGTCTGTATGTATTATGTACATAGTCTAGCTGGTTTTTGTCAAGTGTACTTGAAGCTGGAAGGCCTTTGCAATGCACGCTTGATAACATAAGACAACTAAGTCAGCTGCATTTGAAAGAGCGTGTACTTGACTGGCAAGATACCCTGCACTTATGGGGATAAATTGATTAAGTATTTGGTATAGCTTCATGTCTAATCCTTATGCCACAATTGAATATTTTAATATGTATGTATATCGAGAGAGTATCGAGATATTCAATTATCCACAAAGCGATATATTCAGATTAATCGAGCAAGCTTATAAGACTTAAGATGTATGAAAATAGCGGTATATGGATGTAGATTTATCGTTAATGTATCGACATCTGCATGTCGATATATTAATAGTTCAAGATATCGATATATTGCAATTGATTGCATTGCTCACAGTAGTAAGTGACAGTTAATAGCTGTGTCATTCCAGCTCTGGAAATATGCAGACACTCTTCACATTGAGTAGTGTATTTTTTCTTAATCATTTTACTGAGAAATTGAAGAACTTTGCCGTTGTCAGTTAAACAGTTGGCGCCAGGGCGCTTAAATTGCCGTTACGATAACACAGGGCGTGGGCGTGCATACACACATACACACTGACACAGTCGCAGACCCAGTCACACTCATGCTATGTACCTAGGGTACATTCCACACACACACATACATACATACATACATACGGGCAACTGTTATAAAAGCCGTCTGTGCTCCATCTCTGTCGCACCAATTGTGTGCTGAATGGCTTTAGCGACATTTTGCTTTGCATTTTTACATTTTGTTTTTATTTCAGTTTTGTTGTTTGTTAATTTGTTTCATTGATTGACAGCAACAACTATAATAACAACAAATTGAGACAAGGCGACGGTCAAGAGGAAGCAAAAACAAAAAACAAAAAAAAAAATAGAAAAAAAACCAAAACGTAAAAACCAAAAAAAATTGCAAAAAATAAGAAACGAAACGGCGCAAAGCGAACGGCGACACAGAGAAAAAAATCAAACAATTTTCAAAACATTTAAAAATAGTGCGCAAATTGCTATATTTACGTTATAGAAGACAACAACAACAAAACAATAACAAATGCCAATATTGATAACTCTCTCGAGCTCGGTGCTCTCTCAACGAAGCGCGCGCTCTCTATGCCTGAGATCAACAGTTAGAATTATCTTGCTCACTCTCTCTCACGCTCACTCACTCACTCACTCGCGCTGTTTGTTATCAGCAGCGCGCTTACAACGCTTTTACACACGTGAATGAATCGTACGCTCGCTCTCCGTCTGCCTCCCTGCCTCTCGCTCTCGCGCTCACTTTAAGCTAATTGCATTTGGCTTTGTTTTTGTTTTGCCTTTGTTTTTGTTTTGCCTCTGCCTCTGCCAAGCTTCCCTTCTCTATGCTGTTCTTCGTTGTTTTTATTGATCGACTGCGCGCCTTGCACATTATCGCCATGTTTGTATTTGTTGCCATTTTTCGTTGCGCTTAAAAGGCTAACAGAAAATAACAAAAATAACAACAAAGCAAAACAAACAGCAAAAAGATATAGAGAGACGCAAGCCGAGAGAGAGAGCAAAATATCTGTTTATTGCGTTGTGGATTTTTTGTGTTTGTTTTATGTCGCTCTACAAAAATTTTTAGTATATGACCAAATTTAATGAAATTTAAGACATCAATTAGTTGGGCAAAGTATACAAATATCTAACGATTTCGCTGGATTTTAGTTAATTTCTCACATTTTATGTATTTATTATATATTTTTTATAAATATTAT